CCAGCACACAGATGGGGGCCAATCCTGAAGGAGCTAGTAGGGGGATGCGTGGCAAAATCGAGCCCCAGGTTCTCAGACCTGGTGCTGGAGCAACAGGAACGTGGCCCGGGATGCCAGGCAGTCCCTTCAGGCTGCAGCAAAAGCCCCATAGCGCCCCAGGGTTCACTTCCCACAGACCAGAGTCCTCCCGAACAACAGGGGTCAGTGTTGCGCTGTGAGTAGCTGGACTAGGTGACCAGGCCGCTGCTCTCCAGATTCTGGGCCCCTCTCCTGCCTGGCAGAGTAGGGCCCCATCTTCTGTCTCCCAACAAGGGTCCAGACCAATTATGGGGACCATGACTGTCCCCGCCCCAGGCCTTGGGCCGTCCTGCTATAGACTGAGGCTAGAGCCAGGAAACCTCCCAAGACTCCATTACAACTTGTGGGGAGTCAGCCAAGCTTCCAAACCTCCCTCTGCCATATCATCCTGGGTGACCTGTGCAGTCATGTCACCTGAGCCTGGGCTGACCTCTGTACAGGGTTCTGGTATGGAAACTGAGATAACACCCTGTGGACACCCAGAGTGGCACTGGGAAGGCCACTGGCACCGCTAACTCCAAATCTGCTGAGCTTTCCAACCTGCTTGCTGGTCTCCACCTCCCTAGGCTATCAGGGAAAAGCAGAAAGCGACAAGGTCAAGGTCATCACCACGAGTCCATCCTCTCTTGGGGGGCTGGTTGTGCTGAATTCTTCATACACATCCTGTCTTGGCTCTTGTATAAGCCCTGACATCACTGCTTCACTAAAGCCTCCCCTAACACATGTGACTGATCTGTGAAGGCCACCGTCTGTGCTCATGGGGCACCTAAGCCTCAAGGGAGGGTCTCTTTTGGCAGCTCCATAAGGAACAGTAACTATGTGGTACATCCCAGGCATAAGGAGTCAGAAACCTGGCCAACTGCAGCAGAGGGAGCTCAGCTGAGGGCTGGATCCATTGGCACATGGGAGCCAGAGCTTGGCCAGAGGCCATCATCCCTCAGCAGGTGCTATCCTGGGTCACCAGGGCCAGGAGGCAGCAGGTCACTCCTGCCTCATCCAGATTTCTACTCAAGATAGAAAAGCCCAGCCCAGTGGACTCTCAATGATCTGAGTGACCCAATCCGCAGAAAGCTGTCTAGTGGCTAAAGGGCTCAGTCCCTGCTCAGTTTTCAGCAGGTCAGGGTTTCTCTGAGGCCACCTGGCTGACCAGTCCATGGAGGGGGAGCAGAGAGAAGCCAGCCCAACTTGAGCTCCAGGCAGTGGCTACACTCAGGGACCAGACTGTGAGCTCAGTGTGGGTGGGACCATGTGCCTCATCAGTGGTCAACAAACTTTCTGCAAAGGTTCAGATGGTAAATATTTTAGGCTTTGGGACTGTGTTGGTTAATTTTATATGTCAACAGGCTAGGCCATGGTATCCACTTTTTAGCCAAACACCACTCTAAATGCTACAGTGAAGGTACTTTTCAGATGTGAGGGACATTTAAATCAGTAGACTTGGAGTAAAGCACCTGATGCTCTATAATGTGGGTCAGCCTCATCCAATCAGTTGAAGACCTTAAGAAAGACTGCGGTCACCTGAGGGAAGAGGAATTCTGCCTCCAGACGGCCTCTGGACTCAAGCTTCAACATCAACTATTTCCTGGGGCTCCAGCCTGCAGGCCTGCCCCACTGATGTTAGACTTGTCAGCCCCCACAACTGCAGAGCTAATTCTGTAAAATAAATCTCTCCCTATATATACATACAGGCATGCTTCCTACTGGTTCTGTTTCTATGGAGAACTCTAATACAGGGGCCACATGGTGTCTGTCACTGATTACTCAACTCTGCCACTGCGGTGAGGAAGCAGCCACAGACAATACGTAAATAGATGGGTGTGGCTCCGTTCTAATTAACTTTATTCACAAAGATAGGGAGTGGGCTGTTCACAAAAATAAGGAGTTCGCCCCCCCCACTGTCTCCTGACAAGTAAGTACAGTACCTGGCATGGAGAAGGCACTTTGAGTTATAAAATACCACTTAAAAAATCTGTAGAATGAATGTGAGCAAACAAATGAATCATCGAGACTGAGAAGCACAGCTGCGGCTGCAGGACTGGCCCGCACAGTTAGGGAGAGAGGCACTGAAGACAGGGACTCTTCCACTGTCACTGATTTCCACTGTCTTGACAAGGGTATCTGCCTGAATATACCACCTGGCATCTCATCGCTCAAGGGAGGAAAGAAAAGCTGTGCCCTGTTCCTTCACCCACCTGTCTCAAGGGGCCAGCTTAGCTTTAGATGCGACCTCTCACAACTCTCAGCAACTACCTGGAGGCAGCTGTACAAAAACTAGAATTTACTTTATTAGAAGAAAATGTCTAAGAGCCACACTGGTGGGCGCAGGAGGGGCCCTGGCAGCAAAGGCTGTGCACAGCAGTCTATGGTGGGGAGGGCAGCACCCGGGCCCATGGCCACACCTGGGGAAGAGGCAGGGCGAGGCCAGGCCGCGCCTGCAGAGGAGCTGCTCCACACTGACCCCGAGGAAGGGCCAGGACACAAAGCCCTGCTTGCTGCAAACAGGACCCCTCGGGTGCCGGTTCCCTGGGGCTGACAGCCCGACCTCTCACACGTACTCCCCACAGTCAGAGATGATCACCTTCTGCTTGGGCTTCCCATCCTTGCTGCCCTGGGCCTTTGTGGGCAGAACAGAAGAGAAGGAATCAGGGGAGGGAGGATGGAGAGTAAAGGGCGGCTCAGAGATACCCGGTCCCCCTGCCCATCCTGAGCAGCAGCAGCCGAGGCCGCAGAGCCCCAACTCCTGCTCTCCCACATGGCTGTGCACCCAGGGCCCGGGCGGCCACCCACCTCAATCTGCCGCAAGACGTCCAGGCCTTCTGTCACCTCCCCAAACACCACATGCTTGCCGTCCAGCCAATCTGTCTTGTCACACGTCAGGAAGAACTGGGAGCCGTTGGTGTTTGGGCCAGAGTTGGCCATGGAGAGCAGGCCTGGGGGAGAGAACAACCAGGTCGGCTCCCTCCACCCTGCTCCTGGCCCTCAGAGGATGGCTGGCAGCAGAGGCAGGAGTATAAATGCTGCCAGGAGGTGGAATGAGATGAGGGCCGAGAACTGGCTACTGGCAAGACGGAGGCTGCTGGCATCTTTGATAAGAGTGGTTTCAATGGACAGAAGTCTATCTAGAGGGGGATAGAGAGAGCAGAAAGCAGGGAGTCTACATAATTTTTTCAAGAAGTTTTGCTTAAAAAGGGGACCAGAGGCATGGATGTTAGTTGAGGGGAGAAATGAGTCAAAGGATGTTTTTGAAAGATTGATATGCATGCTGCTGGGCTGATCTAGCAGAGCAGGGGGAATGCATCACACAAGGCAGTGGGGGCACGACTGCGGAAGCCAGGTTCCTAGGGAGGGGAGAGGGGAGGGGGTCCAGGCCACGAGCAGAGGGGAGACAGCTCAGCCCCTGCATTTGGGAGGAAGTCAGAGCAGGTAGGTGTGGACAGATGCAGGGGGCCAAGCATCAGCGGAGGCAAAGAGTGACGTGGAGGCTTCGGGAAGGAAGGGAATTGTCATCTCTGACTGGGACCGAGTGTTCCCTAGGGAGCTCTATCTAGTAGGCTGCCGAGGGCCCTGAAGAGCTGCGGTCATAGATCTCAGTACAGTTCTGTGTTTTCTCTAGTTGCTGGGAGACCAAACACTGAGAAAGTCTGACAAAGGGCGTGGGCAGTGGGGTTGAGGGAAGAAGAGGGCTTACAATGGCCGACCACAGACTCCAAGCTAGGCTGACAGAGACTGCAGACATGGTGGAGGAATGGACAGTATATGAATGTAAACCAGCTCACTCCACTTTAGCCAGGCTTAACACTTCTCTGCTCACCGGGTGGGTCTCCTCCAGACCCCCACCCCTAAGCCAGAACCACAGCCCATCACTGCCCCGCACAGCCATCCTGCTCCAGCCCGGCCTGCTCGTCCCCACCAGCTGAGCAGGTCCCACCTGGTCCTGTGTGTTTGAGGATAAAGTTCTCATCATCAAACTTCTTCCCGTAGATGGACTTGCCCCCAGTGCCGTTGTGGTTGGTGAAGTCACCGCCCTGGCACATGAATTGGGGGATGATGCGGTGGAAGCTGCTCCCCTTGAAGCCAAAGCCCTTCTCGTGGGTACACAGGCAGCGGAAATTCTCTGGGGTCCAGAAAGGAAAAGATGCTCGGGTTAAAAACAAACAAAAAAACCCCTTTCTCTAGACTCCGAAAAACTGTTATATTTGTTTAATGTTTACATTTTCATCTAAAAATATGACATGCTCATTATAAAACTCTGAAATACTGACATCATGAAAGACTAGAAGGGATTCTGGTTAAAGGAAGAGGACCAAATACATGCATTCTAGCCCTGCTCCACACTGAACAGGCGGTAAAGCATTATTTAAAAAAAAAAACAAACAGGATCTTAGAAGAAAACACAAGGGCAACTCTTTGCGACTTTGGATTTGGAAATGGTTTCTTAATTATGACATCAGCAAAGTGAAAAGGCAGCCCAGGGAATGTGAGAAAATATTTGTAAATCATATCTGATAAGAGTTTAACATTCAGAACATACAGTGAACTCACACAACTCAAAAACAAAGAGATAAACAACTCAGTAAATAAATAGGCAAAAGATTTGAATAGATATTTCTCCAAAGAAGATACACAAATGGCCCCAAGCACATGAAAAGATGCTCCATCTTATTAGTCACTAGGGAAATTCAACTCAAAACCAGAATGAGATCCCACTTCACATCTACTAGGCTGGCTATAATAAACAGAAAAAAGTGTTGGTGAGGATGTAGAGAAACTGGAACTCTCATATATTGCTGGTGAGAATGTAAAATGGTGCAGCCATTGTAGAAAAGTTTGGTGGAATCTCAAAAAGTTAAACTAGAATTACCATATGACCCAGTATTTCTTTTTTTTTTTTTTGGAACAATTCCAAAATTTATAAGGAACCACAAAAGACCCCAAACAGCCAAAGCAATCTTTTGTAGGTCTCTTTTTTTTTCTCTTTCTTTTTTTGTTCTCATTTCTTATGGTTTGATGACTAGAGTAGGTCCTTTAACATTTGCTCTAAAGTTGGTTTGGTGGTGCTGAAATCTTTTAGCTTTTGTTTATCTGTGAAGCTTTTGATTTCTCCATCAATGACCCAGTATTTCTTAGGTAGATATCCCAAATATTTGAAAACAGCAATTTAAACACATTTGTACACAAATGTCTACAGCAGCATTATTCACAATAGCCAGAAAGTGGAAACAATGTTCAAGTGTCCATCAACACACGAACTGACAAACAAAACCTGGACTATCCAGACAACAGAATATTATCCAGCCACAAAAACAAGCGAAACATTGATACACAGATGACCCTTGAAAACATGATGCTAAGTGAAATAATCCAGACACAAAAGGACAACTACTGTATGATTCCATTTATGTGAAATATCCAAAATAGCAAATTTAGAAAGACAGAAAGTAGATTAGACATTACCAGGGGCTGGGGGGGGGGGATGGGGAGTTACTGTTTAATGGTTACCGAGTTTCTGTTGGGAGTGATAAAGAAATGTTGAAATTTTGAAAATAGATAGTGGTGATGGTTGTACAACATTGTGAATGCAATTAATGCCAGTAAATTGTACACTTAAAAAATGGATTAAAAAGGACCAAAAAAAGAGAGAAAGCAAGAGAAGAGAAACAGTAACAAAAACTTTTGAAACAAAAGACAAACAGACAAACCATAACTGATACAGTAGACCTAAGAAAGCTAAATCAAGCTGGTAAAGCCAAGAAACAACTGGATTTATGTTGCAGAAATGTCAAAAGCTCAAGGGTGAAGATAGTTCTAAAAACAGTAAATCCGATTGAAAGCCTGTTTAAGAAAACAACTAGCCCCCAGATCCTCACCGTTTCCTGGCCCTGGCTGCTGGCTGGAGGTCTCCTCTCTGCTAGTTAAAGCAGGGGGGAGGGGGTCTCTGGTCTGGGATGCACTACACACAGCTGAGGGCTGAGGTACCAGAATGACAAATGGAGATTAAGTGGGAAGCAATTATAATTGCTCCCAGCCCTGCCCCCCACCCCGAGAAGGCAAACAACTGGACACAGGACAACTAACAAAAGACAAGAGTCTTCTCTGTGGACTCTGCTCTGTCCAAAGGACTATAATTTCCAAGCAGATTTTTAGGGCCCTATTCTTAAATATAAAGAAGGTATCTAATGTGAAAACCAAAGACCAAAACAAACAGATCAGCAGCAAAGCAAAGCAAAACACCCCAGAAAAAGGTAACTTGAAACATCAGCTGTAAAGGAAGAAGATACTTCAGTAATATCCCCACATGAAATGATAGTGCATGTATGAAGTAAGCACAGGATGCTATAAGAAAGAACATTTGGAAAGGTTCCAGAATGAGAGGAGAGAGAAATCCGAAGGGACAAAAGCAAAGAAATAACCCAAGGAAATTTTCCCAAACCAAAGGATAGGACCGTCCTGATTGATGAGAGTGGTAGGCAGAAGAATGGCTCCCCAATGATGTCCACGTCCCAACCTCTGGAACCTGAGAATATGTTACGCTATACTTGGTAAAAGGTATTTTGCAGAAGTGATTAAGGTTATGAGATGGGGAGAGTAGCCTAGATTATCCAGATAGGCCTAATAAAACCACAAGCCTATGACCAGAGAACTTTTCCCAGCTAAAGTCAGAGAGAGAAGTGGATGGAAGGGGAAGCAGGAGATTTAAAACATGAGAAGGAACTGGATCTACCACATCTGACTTTGAAAATATAGAAAGGGAGTCACAAGCCTCTAGAAGCTGGGAACAGCCCTCAGCTGACAGTCAACAAGGTAATGGGTACCTCGGTCTATACATGCAGGAAATTGAATTGTACCCACAATGTGACTGTCTCTGGAAACAGATCCTCCCCTACAGCTTCCAGTAAGGAATGCAGCAACCCAGCCACCATCTTCACTTTAGTCTGGAGAGACCCATGTTGGACTTCTGGCCTCCAGAACAGTAAGATAATAAATGTGTGTTTGTAAGCTGCTGAGTCTGTGATAATCTGTTACAGCAGCAAGAGAGAACTAGTACACCAGGGCCCAGTGACTATCCAGCATGATGCTGGAAGATCTACTCCAAAGGCACACTGCTTCAGAGCCCAGGACAAAGAGACCCTCCAAGCCTCTAGACCAGCGTTATCTAACAGCTATTAAGCAATTGGACAGTGTAACTGAGGAAGTGAATTTTAATTTTACTTAACTTGAATTAAATAGTCACATGTAGCTAGTGGCTACCATACTGGATACCTTAGCTCTAGACAGGAAAAGAAAAAGTAAGTTTCTATAAAGGCCCAAGAATCAGAATGACATCAGACTTTTCTAGAATTCTACACCCAGATTATCAAGTGGGAAAGTAGATATTTTCACACATCAGCCTCAAAAAACTTCCCCCAAACTCTTTTCTCCAGAAGCTACAGAAGTATGCCCTCTACTGAAATGAGTCAATAAACCAAAAAAAAGAATACCCCCAAGGTTCCAACATAAGAGGTGAAAATAGGAAACCCTATGACAATAGCTAGGAAGTAGGCCTAGAAAGCAGCTGGAGGAGGTCAGAAGGCTCCAAGGAGGGGCTTCTGTAAGAAAGTGAAACTGACAGAATGTCTGCTGTGTTTGAACATGATGAGAGATCTACACAGGCAGGAGAATTTGGGAGAGAATCAGGATTAAATGCATAGAAGACTAAGCAAATGTGAAAACAAGATAATTAGGAATTCCAGGGAAAATGAAATGCTATGCGTGAAAGGAAGTTATCACAGTATGATGGTTATATAGTTAAAATAACCTATGTCTTAACCAAAATTATGGTTAACAATATAAGGAAGATGAAGGAGCAGGGAAGATGATTTAAAAAGCTAACTCTCTATCTTCTAAAGCCAATAGATAATGTCTAAAATGAAAAAACCAGGTTGGGAAAGCTGGACAGCTGCATGTAAATCAGTGAAGTTAGAACACGTTCTCATACCATATACAAAAATAAACTCAAAATGGCTTAAATACTTCAACACAAGACAAGACACCACAAACCTCTCAGAAGGGAACAAAGATAAACACTCTCTGATATAAATCACAGCAATGTTCTCCTAGGGCAGTATACAGAGGCAATAGAAATAAAAGCAAAAATAAGCAAATGGGACCTCATTAAACTTACAAGCTTTTGCACAGCAAAGGAAACCATAAATATAATGAAAAGACAACCTATGGAGTGGGAGGAAATATTATTTGCAAGCAATGTGACTGACAAGGGCGTAACTTCCAGAATATACAGACAGCTTACACAACAACAACAAAAAATGACCCAATCCAAAAATGGGCAGAAGACCTAAACAAACATTTCTCCAACAAAGACATACAAATGGCCAACAGCACATGAAAAAATGCTCAATATTGCTAATTATCAGAGAAATGCAAATCAAAACCACAGTGAGCTATATCACCTCACACCAGTCAGAATGGCCATCATTCAAAAATCCACATATGATAAATGTTAGAGAGACTGTGGAAAAAGGAACTCTCCTACACTGTTGGTGGGAATGTAGTTTGGTGCAGCCATTATGGAAAACAGTATGGAGGTTCTTTAAAAAGGTAAAAATAGACTTATCCTATGATCCAGTAAGTATACCTCCTGAGTATATATCTGAAGGAAACTATAATTTGAAAAGATACATGTACCCTAATGTTCATAGCATCCCTATTTACAATAGCCAAGACATGGAACTAACCTAAATGTCCATCAACAGATGACTGGATAAACAAGTTGTGGTATACACATACAATGGAATACTAGTCAGCCATAAAAAATAATAAAGTAATGCCATTTGCAGCAACATGAATGGACCTGGAGATCGTCACTCTAAGTGAAGCAAGCCAGAAAGAGAAAGAAAAATACCATATGCTATCACTTACATGTGGAATATTAAAAAAAAGAAAAAAAAGGGTACACAAATGAAATAATTTATAAAATGGAGACAGACTCACAGACACAGAAAACAAACTTATGGTTACTGGGGGGAAAGGGTGTGTGAAGGGATAAACTGGAAGTCAGGATTTGCAGATACAAACTACTATATATAAAATATATACACAACAAGGTCCTACTGTATAGCATAGGGGACAGGTATACATATAGAAGTATATTCAATACTTTATAATGGCCTATAATGAAAAAGAATATGAAAAGGAATATACATATATATGTTTATATATATATATGAATCACTATGCTGTATACTAGAAATTAATACAACATTGTAAACTGACTATACTTCAATAAAAAAAGAAATTAAAAAAATAAAACACAAAATAGCAATATAAATCTGTTATTGACCAATATGATGTAAAAACCAAAAGAATCAGCTAAGAGTTGGAAGTGGCTGCCCCTGAGAAGCAGCAAGTGTTGGTGGTGGGGCAGGGTGGGAGGACAGCCTGGGGGCACCACTGTTTTGCAAAACAAGCTTTGTGAAATTAACATTTTAAACTATATGTCTATATGATAAAATCTAGATTAAAATAGAAAAAATACTCAAGAAACTGTTAGTTAACAGTAGTTATTTCTGAAGAGTAGGGCTAGATGTGGAGAAGAGAAGAAGACTTAAGTTTTCAATTATTGCCTTCAATATTGTTGGAATATATATACATATGTCTGTGGTACTTTTCTTTTTAAACCATGAATGCATGTTCACTTGTACTAAAGAAAAAACAATTATTTAAAACTAGTAAACTAGCACTTACAAAACTTCAAAAATGCCTGCTCTGACTCATCTGTTACTGGATCCCAGAATCTGAGATGCCACAAATGAACTCAGGTCAGAAACAATGTCAAGGACACAAGAACTGAAGCACTGAGACTTTGGGAAGGCTCAAAGCTCGGCCACCAGCTTCCTGGTGGACCTGACAGAGTCCTGCTCACCTGCTGTCATGGGAACGACGTCTGAACGCAGGAGCATTTGGATGCGGCCGGCTGGCTTGTTCCCGATCTTGATGTCCATGTACACCTGAGGGTTTGACCGGGCCTTTTTGACAGGGGGCTCTCCCTAGACGCAGGAGAAATGGCCAGGTTAGAGAGAACTCCCTGACTCCCCGAGGAGAAGAGCGAGGCTTCTTCTGAGTTCACATCCAGAACCCTATTGCAGTGAGCAGGCGGAACAAGATGCTGACAGGGGAGGCCTTGGGCCCTGATGGGCTGCAGAAACCGGAGGCCACAGCCACGGCCACGGTCCCCAGCTGGACATCTAGGGACAAGAGACCTCAGCACCATAGAGCGGGAGCCCGACCGCGAGCACGTTATGCATCACACCCTCAGACACGCCACTTTCACCTTCACCCTCCCCCGCAGTCACAGAACAGCACTTTTCTGGCCACAACACACAACTCTCAACATCTTCAAACCCCCCTCAAGCCCTCCCACTTTAGTCCAGTTAAACAGACCCATCTCTGTAGCACCATCCCCTCCGTCTAGAGTGCTCAGCCCTGCACAGCCACAGTCTGGCTGTGATGGAAGCAGGGATGGCCTAAGTGCTCAGAAGACAATGGGGGATGTTGGGGCCTTGCTTTGTGCTACAACTGGGTGAGGCTGAGCAGAGAAGACATCAATACAGCTGTCACGTTTGCACCAAAGAGAAAAGTCAAGTGTTCTTAACTTGTTTGTGGTTCAGCTTAACAAACGTGCTGAGGAATCACGCTAGCACTGAGGATTTGACTACTATCTGCCGCTAACAAGAACAGTCACATAGCAGTAGCAGCAAGTACTGACGTAGCACTTGCCATGTACAGGGTACTATTCTGAACGTCTTATGTACATCAGCTCATTTAATTTTTACAGCCACCTGCAAGATCATTGCTATCATCGTCCCCATTTTATAGATGGGGAAACTGAGGTACAATGAAGTTCAATAACTGCCCAAGATCACAGAGGTGGTAAGTGGTGAAGCTGGAATTTAAACCTAAACCACCCTCCTCAAGTCCTTGTTCTTAATCACATTACCCCACCTCACATTTTACATTTTTATTAATAAGATGTATAACACAGGGCCCTTACACTCACAGAATTTACAGCAATAAGCCCTTGAGTACCCTACACAAAAGCCAAGACACACTAGGAAATACAAAGACTGGTTTTACCAAGAGTGTTAAGTGAGGACTGCAATATGGAGAGGTGGGCAGAGTCAGGGCCTTGGCGAGTCCCCCTGGAACTTCATCCCATGGGACAGGAGCTGGGCAGCCACTGAAAAGTTCTCAGCAGGAGAGTTAGCTGACCAGTCTTGTGCTTTAAAAACATCATTCTAGCTGCCTTTATGAAAGACTGGAGGAGAGCAAGACTGCAGCCGGAAGACTAGTTAGGAAGCTATTGCAATTATCCAAATGGGACGAGAAGTTACATTGGGACGAGAAGTTACACTGGGACGATGCAGTAACTTGGGGAGGGCGATTCAAGGAATATTTAGGAGAACAACTTGGTAGAGTATGATGTACCAGCTCTATTTTAAAGAGGGGTCTAGGGTGACTTAGGGTTACTCCACTGACTATGACGGCTATTATGTGCTCTGCTTTGCATCCAGCCTGGGTCAGTGAGGATGGATAGTGGCAAGTTGGCGAACTTGAGAGCCCAGGAAGAACAGGATTAGAGAAGGGAGGGCATCCATTTTAGGCAGCTTTAAGCTGCCTGCGAAACTTACACAGCAGAAATGTCTGAACCTCAGGACCAGAGACAGAGGCCAGGAGAGTCAACAGCACAGGAGAAGCTGAGAAAAATCAGTGACTGCTACTGTTTCAGCCAAGAGGGGAGAGAGAGGTGCCAGGAGCCAAGAAAGAAATCCCGAAGAACAACACTTACAGGGAAGGGAGGGGTAGCCTGAGAGGCAACAGCTAGAGAGAGATGCTGCGAATCAGGACAAAGGGCCAGGGCAGGTTCTCAGGAAGGGAGAACCTTAAACCTGTGCACTGGAGGCTGCAGGAGGGGGAATGACCTCCTTCGTCAGGACAGGAACAGGAAGACAGGGAGCCTGCTGCCCGATGCTTCAGTGAAGGAGGGCTGATCAGGATGGGTGCAGAGGTGCCCTCACCACCCTCCCTGGCCTCAGGCTTCCTCCTCATCAGTGGCAATCACAGAGCAGAGCTCAGAAGCTCCTCCACACAGCACAAGGACAAGGGGCCTAAAGCCTCCCTTTAGTTCACTCAATACCACTTTCACCAAAACACTAAAAGTTCATTTCTTCATTCTCTCTGCTTCTGTATATATACACACTTGCAAATTCCCATAAAACCTTAAAAAACAAAGTCTCCTGTGGGCAGTGCTGGCCTGCAACCTCACCTCCTGGGTTTCCACTTTGGGAGGCTCTGACCCTTCTTCTTCTTTATTTTCTTCAAGAGTCTTCCCAGAAAACTTCTTCAACCAGTCATCATCTGACCAAACTGAAAGGGAAGAAGCAAGCAAATGTCAAATTCAAGCTAACAGCCAACTGCTAAGTAGCTGCTTTGGTCAGCAAAGTAGAACATATTCTGTGGCTCTCTCGGCCAGAGGACTCCGCTTCGGAACTCCCAAGGGTGAGGAGAGATCCCCCAAGGACTGCCAGCCCGGAAGTCCAGCTCTCAGCAGGGCTAAGTGAAAAAGCTCTGCCCCAAGGAAAGGCGCAGCCTTTGCCAGTTCTGGCCCGATGGAACCACCCCAGGAATAAGTGTGGAGAAAACTGGGACAGATAAGAGATCAGGCAGGGTTTCTCTCATAATGGAAACAATTACCTGGCTTTGTTGAGAAACTCACACTCTTTCTATTTCCCTACAAAGGTGGTGCATGCCCTTTGCCAATGCAAACTATCCCTGCTACTCCTGTCCACCAGAGCAGCATTCAGCTCCTACTTCCAAGAAAACAGGGACAGAAAGGCAACCAAGGCCAAACTGGAGGATGTGATCGGAATCTGTGTTGCTCCCACTCACCTGGTCTGGAAGAGCCTTCCTTAATCCTCATTGGTTTTGCCAAATTGACACGAATAGTCCGTCCAAAGAGCTCAGATTCATTCTGAAAAGATTGAAAATCCAGTTGTTTAAACTGCTAGGTTAAAAGAAAGTCAGACAACTTTCTGTTTACTTTCTGTTTATCTGAGACAAGCTCACGCTCTGTTCTCCCTTCACCCCTGAACCTCTAACAGCAAGCTCTGCACCCACCACAAAGCAGCCTGTGGGCTGCAGGAATTTCCTCCCTGGAGCCATCACACATCTCCTCTCTTTCCATACCAGCAAAGACCTGTGCTACCAAAGTGCCTCTCGGTTCAGAGCACTCTGAAATTAAACGAAGAAATGCACTTTCCAAGTACCTGAGTTCATCTTCAAAAGTCCACATCAGCTTTGAAATGGTGAGAAATGATCTTTCTCTCTGAGAGCTGAGGCGTATGTTTGGTAACAGAGAACAGAAATAAAGGAAAACCTTATTGTCCAAAGATAACTGGTACCAGGAAAGGTCACTTAATGTGAATTCACTTAAGGCAGTGAAGAAAATTTCACAGTAAAAAGTGAAGGGAAAAAAAGATGACTAGGACTTTATCATGATGAAACTAAAAATAATGAAAATAAATTCCTTATAGTTAAAATTCAGGTTTAACCATGCAATAATTTGTAGGTCAAAGATGTAATTTCCCAAGAAAACACTATCAGTATGATATGGTATCTCTGCACTTCTTACCTGATGTGAAAGTCTTAAGTATCTCAAAGAGGGCATAAACACTCAAGAGCTTCATCATTTCCCCCAAGGATCTCTCCAGGCTATTCCAATCTTTTGCATCAGTAGCACACCCTATTATTATCCCTCTTGAATTTCTCTTCTCAGTTGTTAACTGGTCCAACACTTCATGAAATCCTGCCTCTTTTGCAAAATATGCAATTTCACTGTGCAATCAATTTGCATGGTGCCTGCAATTTACTATCCTAGACGTGGGCAGCCAGTGAGAGACTGACCAACAAGGAAGGTTAGGATTTACCTTATTGTAAAATGGGAAAGGATGTTTGAGTTAGGACAATTTTATAAGTGATCAATTCATGGTCAATATTTCCACATGATGATAATTTCTACTTCCCATGCAACCTTGTAACTTTGGAGGTTCATCAAATCAGTGTATGAATTAGAACCCTCTGTACTACCAAAAAGCAACTTCAGTAAGAATGAGGATTCACAGCCATACCATGTTGTCGATAGCTGCTGCGGCATCCTGCCAAGGAAAGACAAAGCACAAGTTGAGGCTTGCAGCCAAATGCCTCTTGTGGTTTCTGAACACAAACCCAGTAGTTAAAAAAAAAAACAAAAACCAAAATACAACCCCCTCCCCCCTCAAATAAACCCAACAGGAAAAGGTCACGTCTATACCCCCTGCTTAGATTGTATCTGTCTAACAAAGAGCACTTCTTGGTGACTTCAGCACAGCTATTTGCCATCTCATGGAAGGCAAGGAAACAATCACCAGCACTGCCAGGCAAGAATGCTCAGTGAGCAGAGCTGCAGGAGCTCTGTGGAGCAAGAGGGGCATGACCTGACAGGTCTGCAATGTTTAACCACCGTCTACAATTTGATTATGTGAGGAAAGCTTTCCTTCAAATAGTGCTTCTTGTCTCTCTGGAAGCATCAACAAGAGGCCCAGAAACCCAACCAAATGGAGGACAGCTCCCTTTGTAATCAGTAACAGTAATAACACAACCCAAAGACTTAACACAGGTAACAGAAAGTTCTCACCTCTGCCAACTCAAATTCGACAAAAGCAAATCCTCGGTGCTTTTCTGAGAAAAAGGCAAACAAAACCAAGCAATTACTACGTGGGGCAATGGGAAGAAACAGGTGGTCAGAAGGAAAGTGAAGTCAGTCACGTTCCATATCCATTCACTAGACACTCTACCCAATCACTGCTTAGGAGGAAGGAATCTCATACTTGGATTCTTCCTAGTTTAAACAACATTTCAAGCAATATCAACTGTTTTGTAGTAAACAGAGTTAAGTAATGAACTATACTTTTAATCTTTAAAATATGCATGTAATTCTTCTACCAAAACCAAATTAAAACGTTAACTTTTGCATGCAAGACAGCTAGAAAAATGAAGTCATTTAGCCTAACAATTATTCACTCCAAATACACATTTTGAGCATCAGCTGTGCATAAAGCATGAATACTAAAGCCTGGATAAGGATGCTCAGTCTTTATCCTTAGCAAAACACTAATCTTAACTAGAAAGTCCAAGTGCACAACAGCATTAGTTTAATTAACCGATTAACCTTAGTGAGCCAATATAACCTTATCATTTTTATACATATAAAAATCCGAGGGAGATTAAAAACCTTTTTAACAATCATATGCAATGTTGATGATAGAGCTGGACCTAAAACATCAATCTCAAAAATGATGACAAACGTAGAATAGAAAACTGAACTGTAACTGTAATACTAATTGAAGAAAAACTTACCTAGGTGTGCAGAGGCTAAAGCCCCATTGCTGGGGCTGGGCTTTCCTGCTGCCCTGTTTAATAACACAGCTACCAAGAAGGGAGCAGGTGCAGTGGGGTACCCAGCAGGTAGTTTGAAACAACAGATCTCCATGTAGCTTAAAACTTGTCTTCCTACTGGCTAAATGGAAAGTTTGTCTTATCTCAACTGCAACAGATAGGACTCTCCGCAAAGCATGTTACACATGCTTATAACTATAAGCCTCAGAACATTCCTTCTGCATCACTTCTGATCACTGTCATGCTGCCTGATGCATATTTAAAATACACTGATATGACTTTTAAAAAAATTTCCTAGCAGGATTATGAGCATGAGAGACACTAAAAAAGACTTACCTGTTTCATAATCGAGAGGAATCTGGATATCTGTGATGTCTCCAAAAGGGATAAAAGCAGCATGAAGAACTTTGTCATCCACCTCCTCTGCGAGTCCACCTGCAGAGAAGCCCAGGGCCTTCTGAGCCACTGTCCTCCATTCTCCTGGGAAGTCCCTGCAGTTCAGTTAGCACGCTATAGCCAAGGGGAGGGGTCTTTCCATCCAGTCCTTTGGGCCCATAAATAGTCCTCTCATCGGCTCCCTCATGCCTACTTATGAAGCACACTCCTTTCTTCGCCCTTCTTTCAGACCCTGATCTAGCCCCAGGGATTACTGCAATAGCTTCAAAACTGACGTCCTCCTCCTTCACAAAGCCAACTAGAAAGATCCTGGGAACGTGCATTTTAACCCATCGCTTCCCTGCTGAAACTACTTCAAAGGTTTCCCACTGTCCTCAGGATAAAGTATAAACTCCTTAGCAGTGGACACAAGTCTCTTCATAAGGCCTTGTCCATCTCTTCAGCCTCTTTCCCTTTACTTCCTCGAAAAATGACACACTTGCCTCCAAGTGTCAGTCTATTTTACACCTGGGCTTTTGCGCCTGCTGCTCCCTTTCAGTAACACACTTGCCCCTATTTTGGCCACCTGGCTAACTTCGGCTCATCAGCTCCAGCGTCACCGCATCCTGAAAGCTAGCTCTCACCTCTCCAACTGGAGGGGTCATTTCTCCCCTCTCCCAGTCCCATGTCACCATTGTCCGTCCCCACCAAAGCGCTCATCAAACGGTACTACTGAAGTTACTCCCACTTTTACCAGGCTAGTGGGTAAAAATTCTTTCCTTCGCAGCAACACTGGGGGCTGAACCATCGCTGCAGTTAATGTAAAGTGAATGGGCGAGAGAATTCAGAGGTTCCTAATATTCCTCTACCAATGCTCCGGGCCCAGGAAGTGAAGAGGTTCCTGTTAGTTTAAAGGGCTTGGAAGAGAGTTGCAATCATCATTACACCTCCGGCTCGGAACCCGAGGGAAAGCAATACTGCCATAGATGCGGCCTAAACCGCTGCTCGCCGCCCCCTCCGTCCGGGAACCTGTCCAGCTCCACGCCACGACCCACTCGCGGCCCTGTTCGCCCAGACTCCACCTAGCGCCTGCTCACCGACGTACAGCACTCGCTTGGTAGTAGCCATCTTGCTCCCGCTCTTCCGCCGGAAGCCTGTGCTCGGCCCGCCCCCTACTCCACGGCCCCGCCCCAGCGCCCCGGCGCTCATAGACTCCGCCCGCCTCCGCCCGGCCGCCTCCGGCTCCCAGAAAGTGGCGGTTGTCGCACAGGTGCATCGTGGTGGGTGAAGGGACCGGGTCCTATCGCTTCCTGGGGCGGAAAACAGTGCTCTGAAAATCAGCCGTGGTCTGCAAATAATAAACTACCAGTAAACTACGGTCTGCAGGGCACGGCCGCGCGTCTCTTTTTGGGCAACCCGGGAGCTACGAATGGTTTTTACGTTTTTAAATAGCTGGGGGAAGAAATCGAAACAAAAATAATATTTCATGACATTTGCAAGTTATATGAAATTCAAATTTCGTTCAAAAATATTAATTGGAACCCAGTGATGCTCATTCCTCTAAGTATTTATTGCTTTCAGGCTGCAAAGACAGACCTACGGCCTGCAAAGCTTGAAATATTTACATCTGGCTTTTTAGGAAAAATGTTTGCCAACGCTTGGAATAAACCAACTAATACATATATCACAGATTGACATCAGTAGTACAAAAATAATGGAGCCACCTATTTTAGATACAGCAGTGGGTTAGGACCTCCCTAAGGTCACAGTTAAGCTGAAACCAGGAGGAAGAGGAATCAAAGAGAGGAGGAAGCGGGGAAAAGGGTTTCAGGGAGAGAAGACAGCTTCTGCATATCCAAGGAAGTGAACGGCCAGAGCATGAGGGTTGGAGAGGGGAGGGGAGGAACATCAGACAGGAAAGGTGGGCAGGGGTCACAGGAAGTGGGGCCCTGTCAACCACGTGGAGGATGTGAGGGTTTTGAGAAGCTATTGAAAGTTGTGATGGGGAGTTACATGGTCACATTTGTATTTTAAAATAGCGCTCTGACCACTATGACCAGAACTGGATTGAGTGGAAGCCTGGAGACAAGGAGGTTAGTGCAGTAGAGACTAGGGAAGAGTTGATGGTGGCTCTTTCCCTCCACCCCCACCCCCCAGCTTGTTTCCAGGGTGATCTTTCTTCAAAACAAACCTAAACTCTCTAGAGCTCCCTGCTTAAATCAGTGCTGATTATGACAGGTCTCCTAGAGCCCTTGACAAGGGGCCGTGGCCAGGTCAAGTCAAGATGGACCTCCATACCAGATCTGGCCCTTACAGATGCTCATTTTCCTTAGCCCAGAGCTAAGCAGTCGATGTGTAAACAGCAAACCTCATCATCATCAGGCCAAACCAGGGGGATACTGCTCATAGAAACAAGGCTGTGAGATCTGATTACAAGATCTCCTTGTACATGTTCTTTATTGTGATATAACAATTCATGTACCATAAAATTCACCATTTTAAAGTGTACAATCAAGGGGGAGGGTGTAGCTCAGCGGTAGAGCACATGCTCAGCATGTACGAGGTTCTGGGCTCAATCCCCAGTACTTTTATTTAAAAATTAATTTAAAAAATTTTAATGTGTACAATCAGTGGTCTCTAATAGATTCACAAAGTTGTGCAACCATCCCTGCTAATTCTAGGACATTTTCATCACCCTCTAAAGAAGCCCCAAACTCCTTGTTACCCCTGCCCCCTGTCCCCTGGCAACCACTAATCGACTTTCTCTGTGAATTTGCCTATGTTGGATATTTCATATGAGTGGAATCATATAATATGTGGTCTTCTGTGATTGGCTTCTTTCACTTGCATAATTCTTCCAAGGATCCTCTAAGTTTTATTTAGCATTTGCTTATACTTCACTTCCTTTTACTGCTGTATAATAATATAGAATATGAATATACCACATTTTAGTTATACATTCATCAGTTGGTGGACTATGGGGTATTATGAACAATTCTTTTATGAACATTCATGTACAAGTTTTTGTGTGGACATATGTTTTCAATTCTTTTGGGCATATACCTAGGAATAGAATTGCTGGGTCATATGGTAACTCTGTGTTCAACTTTTTGAGGAATTGTCTCTAAGTTTGGTTGTACTGCTTACCAGCTATGTGACCAAGGGCAGATTGTTTCATTGTTTTGTGGCTTAGATTCCTCCTCTGTAAAAATGAGACAATAAAGGGCATTTTTGCTGTTTCTAAAGCAATTGCACCATTTTACATTCCAACCAGCAATGTATAAGGGGTCCTATTTCTCACATCCTTGCCAACACGTGTTACTGTATGTCTTTTTTATCATGGCCAACCTAGTTGGTGGGAAGTGGTATGTCAATGTGGCTTTGATTTCTATTTTTCTGAATACTAATGATGTTGATCATGGCCATGGTGTTCTCCTATGCTGAGATTTGCTTGTACATAACATTAGGCTTCCCCCCACTTAGGTTGTTTTTCTCTTGTTACTTTATAGTGATTTTCCAGATGTAAAGCTGATCATTTTATACTACAGTTCCTTTGCTATTTATTAACATAGTCCAATCCCCATCCCCACCATCCCATTGGACTGATTGTGCCCTTTCTCCAATATAGTGTCTCCAGTTTGGTCTGAATCTGGGCTCTCTACCCTGTTAGAATGATTCTGAATTAATTCTACCCAATTTAACTTATGTAGTTTAATGATAAATCTTTATGTCTTGTTCTTTTTTCAGAATTGCCTCGAATATTCTTAGATGTTTACTCTTTCATATAATATTTTGGTGGGAGAAAGTAAGTAGGTTTATTTATTTATCTGTTTATTTTTAATGGAGTTACTGGGGATTGAACCTAGGACCCTGTGCATGCTAAGCACGCACTCTGCCACTGAGCTGTACTCTCCCCACATCTTTCATATAACTTTTAAAAGCATCTTTATTGTGGTCTAATTCCTGTACAGTAAACCACACATATTTCAGACGTACAATCTGATGAATTTTGATAGATATATATACCTATGAAACCACCACCACAATCAAGATAACTAACATTTCCATCACTCCCCAAGAGGTGCGAATTTCGAGTTTCCAATTTATCCCTTCCCACCCCCTTTACCTCCTTCCATACGAATGTTAGAATCCACCTATCCAATTACATAAAAAAAATCCTCATACATTTTTACTGTAATGAATTGAATTTATCAGTTTATTTTGAGGGAGAAATGACAGCTTTATGATATTATTTCCATGCATAAACATTTTACATCTCTCCATTTATTGTTTTATATTCTTTTTCATATCTATAGAAATATTTTGTGTTTCTCTCTGTAAATGTCTAGCACATCTTTTATAAGAAGTATCCCTAGATACATGATAGATTTACTGACGTTGTGAATGATATCTTTTTGCCTATTGCATCTTCTAGTTTCTTATTCCTGTATATGGTAATCTATTGATTTTTCTGTTGATCTTGTATCTGGTAGTCCTGCCAAATTCTCTTATTAGTTCAAATAGTTTTTCTCTAGATTTTCTTGGATTTTCTAAATTGACAGTAATACAACCTGAAAATAGAGATGGTGTTGTCTCTTCCTAATTCTTATCCCTCTTGTTTATTTCGCTTAACACGTTGGCTAGGAAGTTGGAATAATGGTGAATAGCAGGCTGACAGAGAGCAATCTTACCTTGTTCCTGACTCCATGGAAATGCCTCCAAACTTTCACCTTAAGTATAAAGTTTAGGTTTTTGGTAGATATGTTTAAAAAGTTCCCTTCTATTCTCAGTTTGCTTAGAGTTTTTATAAGAAGTCTGTTTAGCTTTGTTGAATGGTATTTCTGAATTTTTGAAAGAATCATGATTTTCTCCTTTATGAGTTAATAGGCAAATCACAATGATAGACTTTCTAGTGTTGAATTATCCTTCTGTGAGTAAAAGGAAAATTAATAGAGGCCTGGCTAATGCAAGCCTGCCTGAGACTGACCTTGGGCTTCCACAATACTATTGCCTTGGAAACAGCAGAGTTAAGATCAAAGGAAGATATTGTGTATGCCTCCTTTGTTGCGTGCATAGGTTCAGGGGAGTTGTCAGTGGGCTTACACAACCAGGATGGTATAAAATATTGGTGGGAAATAGAGGTTACAGCTTCTATGAATCAAGATGACTTCCACCCATGTTGGCTTTCCCTTGGTAGCTGTACATGACCTGTGGGTGAGTGACAGAAGAACCTGTGTACTTGGGTAGCTGCTGGGCCTCCCAAGGAGATGCAAATGCATCTGCCACATCTCCTGCTTTGTATTCTAGATTAAAATCTATTTGAATCTCATGGGTCTGATTGCCAACTTGACCCGTAATCACAGCCATGGTATTATTGCACCTTCCGTACCACTGGTCATGGTATATGCTTTTTTAAATATGCTGCCAGATTCTATTTGCCAGCATTTTATTTTAGGATTTTTTTGAAAATATATTCATGAGTTTGGGCTCAATTTTCCTTTCTCATACCACCATCGCAGATTGGTTTGGCATCAGTTCTGTAAGCCCACAATTCTTACCTGAAATTCCAAAATTCAAGAAGTTCTGAAAACTAGCAGTAGGGCTTTTTGAGGGAAAGAGGTACATTTTCAGCAAACTCATATGGCTGCCAAACCTGATCTGAACTAATGTGAGATTATTTATAGCTTTTATCCCACTTAGTATGTTTTACGGCTGAAACGTTAACAAATTGATTGCAGTGGGCTGGTCCCCACTGTGCTGGGGGTGTTATACACAGCTTATACACTGTATCATCTTTATAAACTTCCAAAATCCAAAAAGTTTAAGGTAAAAGATAGTGAATTTATTTTAGCCTGATAAAATAAACTGGTCAGATTTCATCTGTTTTTTGGGGGCGGGGGTTGGTGGGGGAAAGGTTATTTGAGGTAGTTTTCAAAAGCTAGGGATCATTTGTTTCTTTAAAGTGTGGAAAATTTGTGAAGCCCGATGGACTTTAAGTCGTGTGTGTGTGTGTGTGTGTGTTACTGTTGGTGGTGGGTCATGGTAATCAATTTTTTGGTGCCACTCTTCCC